CGGATGCAGTATACCACATTGGCAGATGTGCAGGTGAACATCTGTTTGATGTGGAAAGTCTTCTTGGGGCCTGGGATGGGGGTGAGGGAGGAGGTATGGGGGCAGGTGTAGCACTTCCTGCGTTTGCAGGGAAAAGTGCCGGGTGTGTTGGGGCTGGAGGGGAGTGTGGAGTGGACAAGGAAGTCACGGAGAGAGTTGTCCCTCCAGAAAGCAGATAAGGGTGGGGAGGGAAAAATGTCTTTGGTGGTGGGGTCTGGTACTTCGCTTCTTATCAAAGTACCCAAAGGCACTTCACATGCCATTGCTTTTGCTTTGTGTAAATCATTGTTTGAACAGAAAAGGTGCCGCAGCAACATCCCACAGACTGCAATGACCAGCTGCACCTGACCTGTCCGTCCTCCCTGGACTGACCTATCTCCTTCCTAACTCCCCACCTACACTCACCTTTACTGGCCCCATCCCCGCCTCTTTGACCTGTCTGTTTCCTCTCCACCTATCCTCTCCTCTATCCATCTTCTTTCCGCCTCCCACTCTCTCCCTATTTATTTCAGAACCCCCTTCCCCTCCCCCATTTCTGAAGAAGGGTCTAGGCCCGAAAGGTCAGCTTTCCTGCTCCTATGATGCTGCTTGGCCTGCTGTGTTCATCCAGCTCTACACCTTGTTACCTCATTTATTTTATTGTTGTTAGCTGAGGACACATCCTGAGATTAGGAAAGTTTACTGCTCAGCTTCAAATCGTGTCATGGGATCAGCTATTACCTGCAGTTCCCATGGAACATATTTTCCTCTTACGTTTTTATGTTTTTAAGTGTGAGTTGTTAGTTCTGGCGAATGGAATGTCCTCCAGATGAGACCGTTTAGCCACTGTTTCATCTGGAATGGGCTGCCAGAGGTAGTAGTGGGAGTGAGTACAATTTTGTCATTTAAGAAACATTTAGACAGGTACATGGATGGGATAGGTAGGGAGGGGTATGGACCAAATGCAGGCAAATGGGACTAGTTTAAATTGTAAAAACTGGCTGGCATGGGACAGTTGGGCTGAAGGGCCTGTTTCCATGACTGTATGGCTCAAGACACTTGAGGCCATCTGCCAGTCAATCAGACCAAGTTTGACCTGCTCTTCCACCCCATTAACTTGTCTGTCCTCCACATTCCCTGTAACTCTTATCTAACAGAAATCTAATTGGCTAAGTCTTGAAAGATTCGATTGTCCAACATCTCTCTGAAGGGCAGGAAATTACAAATTCCTACCACCAGTTTCAGTTGCAACTGAAGAGTATCACATATTAGAACAGACTCAATCTCCCTCTACTCAAATCCAATCATTTGCCACACTTACCATCTCGCAAGTTAATCACCCTCTTGCACTACATGTGGCATTGCTTCCATTTTCACAGCACCATAATATGATGGTACTTCTGATTTCTCCTACAAATGAATGCCACCCGAAGGGGCTCTCAGTTTGAAACTGCATAAGGACTGTGACAGCTTTCAGCCTAAGTTTGTGTGGTTTTGAAACCAGCTCCTAAACAGCATTCACAGCATAAAATGCACAATGTTCAGCACCATTCATGATGAGGTTGTTGACTTGCTCACCAAGCTGGCTTGTTCTCACTCAGACGTTTTGTCACCATGCTAGGTGACATCACCAGTAGAGCCTCCGATGAAGCGATGTTATTCTACTCCACTTGGAATTTATACTGTCTGGTCCAGTATGGGGAGTACTGTCACTTCCAGTTTCGATCTTTATGGGTTTGTATATGGGGTCCAATTCTATATGTTTGTTGATTGCAATATGGGTGGAGAACCATGCCTCTAGGAATTCCCGTGCATGTCTATTCCTAGAGGCATAGTTCTCCACCCATACTTCAATCAACAAACATATAGAATTGGACCCCATATATAAACCCATACAGATCGAAACTGGAAATGACATACTCCCCATAACGGAGGGGACAGTATAAATTACAAGTGGAGTAGAATAACATCGCTTCATCGGAGGGTCCACTGATGGTGTCACCCAGCACGGTGACAAAACGTCTGAACGAGAACAAGCCAGCTCGGCGAGCAAGTCAACTACCTCAGCCACAACCCGAGCTACAGATCTTTGCTACAACTTTGAACTATTCATGATTCCTCAGATACTGAAGCAGTCCATGTCCAAATGCAGCATGAACTGGACAATTTCCAGGCTTGGACTGACAAACAGCAAGTAATATTCACTGTACCGAAATGCCAGACTATGGCCGTCTCCAATAAGAGAAATCCTGACCTTACTCCTTTACTCTCATACTAAGACAATGACACATCTTGTAATGCTTACTGTATCTAAAAATGAGAAATTTCCTATTCATTATGCTGTGTTTTCTCATGAGGACAGACCTGACTGGTTGGAGGCTTCATGCTTCTTACGTTCCTACAGTCTATTTGTTTTTCACAGTATGAATAAAATGGAGCCAGCATATTACAGACTTATCAGTAAACATTAATAATGAAATAAAATATAGCCTTTACTCACAACTGATTATTAATTACTTATTTATCAATTACAGATGCAATTAATAATACTAACTGGTTGTTACTCTCAATTTGTATTGTTCGATGTTCGGTGAATGCTCAGTGTGGTACATTAAAATGGAACAATGTGTCAACAGCCCATTTGATTGGCATCACATGCACTGCAGAAAATCACCAAAGATCCTCAGACAGCACCTTCTAAACCCATGACCACTGCCATCTAGAGGGACAAGGGCAGCAGATACATGGGAACACCACCACCTGCAAGTTCCCCTCCAAGCCACACACCATCCTGACTTGGAAATATATCACTGTTCCTTCACTGTCACTGGGTCAAATTCCTGGAATTCTGTCCCTAAAGGCACAGTGGGTATATCTACAGCACAGGGATTGCAGCAGTACAAGAAGGTAGTTCACCATTACCTTCTCAAGAGCAGTTAGGACAGCCAATAAATGCAGACCCAGCCAGCAATTCCCTCATCCCCGGAGTGAATAAGAATAAAACATATGAACATTCGTTGGGCTCAATAACATACTCATATCTTTTTGTCCCTTTCTATGTCTATTGTCTTGTCCTCAGCATCACCTTTCTCTCTGCATGTCACAGCTCATCTGCTGCTAAAGGCCTCACCCATGCTTTCGTCGCCCTCAGATGTGACTATAGCCAGCTGGCCTCCTATCCTTTGCCCTGAGTTTATCTGAAAGTCTCTAGCTTGTCTCCTAACCCACACTCTCGTCCCATCCACACGTCACCCCTCGCTGACTAACCTACACCGGTTCCCAGTCAAGCCACACCTGGATTTAAAAACTCTCAAGCCTGTTCTCAAAATTCTCTGTGGCTGTATTCCCCATGCTCTCTGTAAGGCCGAGATAGATAGATAGACTCTTGATCGAGGGCTACTAAGGGGAAAGGCAGGACAGTGGATGTGAGAGACCTTGGACCAGCCATAATCCTAATGAATGGCAGTGCAAGTTCTTGGGGCTGAATGGCCTACTCCTATTCCTATTTCTTGTGCCATTATGGATTTACAGTAAACTCCCTCCAGCCCACACTCTGAAATCTCTGAACATCTTTGTGCATCCCTGATTTCAATTGTTCTAACTTCTAAGTTTTACAATTCTGACTTTAAACCAGTCAACATAATCCTTAAAACCTACTTTTTCCACTAAATTTTTCTCTACCTGTTCAAATATTTATTTAGATGGGTTCTTGCCAAATCTTACTTCTTGTGAAGTGCCTAGGGACATCTGACTGGGTTAAAGGTGCTTGATAAATAAATAACATTGTAAATTATTTTGACATGTTTTTCTATTTAATTCCTTTCCATTGATTAAATAATGATCCACCAGTTTTGTATGAGGTATTATATAGACCTGTCTACCCATTAACCCCTTGTCCTCTCCTCTTTGTCTCAATATTCTTTCCTGATTCAACCAAAAAACTGCTTGTTTTTATCTTCTCTGGAAATATGCACACTCAAAATATTGATTTGCATCTTTTGACTGATTGTCCCATTGTGCATTTCTACCATTTCCTTCTTTGTGCTCCATCAGAATAACTAATTGCATTCACATGGTGCCATTGTTGTAGAAAAGGGTTCCAAGATGATGCGCAGGACTGTAAACAGATGAAATTTGATACAGAACTGCAGAAAGGCATGAGGATGTGTGACAGAGGTCCTCGTTCAACTATTGCTCTTGTGAGTGATCATTTTTCTAAGTGTGCGATTCATTCAAGTACTTTTTTGCTCAGTCGGCCTCCCGTGGTATTAATCACGGGATTAATAAGACCTGTGCAGTAGCTTTGGGACTACTGCGTTGTTGCAAAGAAGTGCAACTTAGTGGGACCATTGCATCTTATAGAAGGAAAGCAATCTAGAGAGGCAGTGAGGGTTAAGAAGGGAATTCCACAGTTTAGGGTCAGTAGTGTATTGAAAATTGCATCGTGCATTTTGTCCACTTGAGGCTTCCATCCACACAAATGGACCAGCAGAGAGTGTTCGCTCAGAAGAAATAATAAAATGTTATTGTTGAACAGCTTGTACGGTTCCAATTCCAAATCTCTCTCTTACTGAATTTATAGCAGTTTCAAGGATTTTCATGGCGGTCAGGATCTAAGGCACAGCCACCAAATGTTAAATATAGAAAATTGGGGATCCAATGGTCCGGAATCGAAGGAATGTGGAGCTTGAAGAGGATTATGAGCTGGACAAGTTTTAGATGAAGTGGGGTCTTTGCTGGTTGGCATTTGGGAGGCTGGCCGGGAGAGTATTGGACTACAGACCCGACATTCCCTAACAGGACACAAACACCTGGAATGATAATTGAACTACCAAAAGACCACAGGCTGACAACATTTGCCTGTTTTTTATTCAGGGAAGAAAGGGAGAAACCTGGGAAAATCTGAGACTGTATTCGTGAACCCCACCCCCATCCCCACCGCCTCACAGACATGCACGTTCGATAAAGCACGTCGCTCCCACCTGCAGTAAGGGTGTTTTCCCAAACCCAAGCGCAGGGGGTCTTCCACATCTTTGATGTTAAACTCCAGGCTTATAAAATTGGATGTCCAAGCCAGGCAGTTGCTCCCTGAGGCTGTCCTTTTCACTGTCCCTCTGTAAGAGGTCCCATTATTTTCATAACAGTTAGCAGCAGAATCTGGGTAAAATATACATTTGGAAATGTTAAGCAGCAATGCGTTAATAATCCTGGAAAACTACTTCCTCAACACTGGCTGGTTACTTCTTTCTTGTCTCCAATTTTACGTTAGAGGTGCTATACAAAAGCAGGTTGCTGTTGTTGCTCAAAGCTTTTCATGTTACATTCACTTGATATAAATGCCAGACTTACTTACTGGTATAGATTTATTGCAAAATTTTCTCAACTACACATGATATGTATTATTCAAAATTGATGGGATTTTAGCGATTTGACTAGATTGTTTCATTCAGCATGACCTTGATCTTGGATACAAATCTCCTCAATTTTAAGAATGATTGCCTCTCAAGACAACCCAGTATGTTATCAGAGATAACCAGGTGTAGAGCTGGATGAACACAGCAGGCCAAGCAGCATCAGAGGAGCAGGAAGGCTGACGTTTCGGGCCTAGACCCTTCTTCAGAA